GAGCTCATCTCCCGCGACGAGGGCCTACACGCGGACTTTGCATGCCTGCTCTACGGTATGCTGGAGCACAAGCTTCCAGAAGATGTCGTTCACGACATGATCCGCGGCGCAGTGGAGGTGGAGCGGGAGTTCATCTGCGGGGCCCTGTCCTGCGATTTGATCGGCATGAACAAGGACTTGATGACTCAGTACATCGAGTTCGTGGCCGATCGCCTGTTGACGGCCCTGGGACACAGCAAGATCTTCAACTCGTCCAACCCTTTTGACTGGATGGAGATGATCTCCTTGCAGGGCAAGACCAACTTCTTCGAGAAGCGCGTAGGAGAGTACCAGCGCCTGGGCTTGAGAGAGAAAGCCCTGCTTGTGCTGCTGTTTGCTCGGACCGCTAGGACAGGAATTCAGAGGCTCCTAGGCCCGAGTTAGTTGATGTTGGGCCTTTCAGGGAGTGCTTCTGCCAGTCGCACTGATTCGGGTGGGTGTGTTGCCCTTGTCACCAGGAAGGCGGGCGTCATGGCGGGGCAGTCTGATCCTCTGACAGCCTTCGCGCTGGACAAAGACTTCTGAAGATTCTGAGACCGCTGGAAGCGGAAGCGGAAGCTGATGGAAGCTGGGGATGGCCAATCGGCATTAATCAACGATTCTTGCAGATTGCCGCTGCTTCCTGTAGGTAGTTTTGGTTATATGTTTTTTGGGCTGCTGCTGGAGTGGGTTGTCTGAACGCCCAGATGTGGTGTGCAGCCGCTCATGGGAGCCAGCAGTGGACAGAATAGCGTTCCTTAGACGCAGAGCTGCCTTCTCTGAGGTAGTTCGGCGGAATGACCTTTGCAAGATGTGCAGGCAGCGGTTCAAGCTGGATGCTGGTAGCCGCCGTGGCTGGCAAGCAGCACAAGCCAAGCTTTTAGGGACTTGGCTGCACTGCCCTCTCTGCGCAGCGATGCGCCCTTCCAAAAGTGACGGCACGTTCCTGCAGCCAACTGCAGTCATCCTGACCTGTCCGGCCTGCAGGCCGGTCGAACGCCATGGAGACGGAGATGGCGGCTGCGAAGAAGGAGGGCACCCTGGGCACTGTGTACCGGAAGATGTCAGACTCACAGACTCACAGATGCCGCCAATGAAAGGCCTGAGAGAAGTCTGGCGCAAGTGTGAGATGCTCTGGGGTTCGGTCTTGAGGAGCTCGTCCGTGGCCAACGGCAGCTGGAAGAGCTCCAGTTGGGAACTCATCGAAGCCACGAGCAGTTGAACGATTCGCCGTATCAATGAGTGTCGTCGGGTCCCGCAGGAGCCAGTCCTTTGCGCAGGAGGAACTCCGCGAGGCCGAAAGATGCGGCGCCGGGCATTCTGTTCCCATCGATTCCCCGTCCTGTGAGTCGCAAGGAGCTCCGATCTCTCGGAGAGCGGAATGAAGCACCCACCTCAGGTGCAGGCCCAGAGCAACGGTGACGACGTGAGTTTCGTCGTGTGAGAGTCCTTGCACGACTTTTTCCCCACGTTCTCCAAGGCTTTGAGGGAGCAGCTGCGGACTTTGCACCAGGAGATTCGCTTTGGGCGAGTGCCGTCGCATCCTCGGAACCTGCGTCACGTGGCGGCGTGCGCAGGAGACCCGGAAGGTCTCGGAGCGAGTGGACCGCGAGGCGGGCGCCGAGCGGCCCAGCCGCCGAGCGGCCCAGCCGCCGAGCCGCCGAGCCAGCAGATGTTTTGGACCGCCTAAGGTCGCGGACCACATCGAGGTGCAGCGCCACGACGTTGAGGCGTGAAGCGGGCCGTCAGATGTGCCCCGGGCCACCCCCTCTAAGCAGAGGCCAACAAGGCGAAGCTCGGGGACTCCTCCGAGCCAGTGCCCCATCAACCCAGCGACTCGCCGCTCTCGCTCTGCCACTTCGCCCTGCCAGGATCCGTCGCCAGTTGGCCCAGGCCTCGAGCCGTACACAGGAGCAAGGGCAGCCTGGTGCCTGAGATCTTGCACGCCCGCATACTCGCAGGAGCTCCAGACGCTGAAGGCTGCGCCGCTGCGCCGTTGCTGCGTTGTCGATGTGCGATGCGTTCAGACTGCCAGGACCAGAGCGAGCGGGCCCTGGAGGCATCCAAGAAGAGCAGCCATCGGACAGAGGAGCAGCATGGAGTATTCCTGAGTATAGAGTGTTTTGTTTGCCTCGCCGCTGATGGTCAAGCCGGAAGTTGCATAGATGAGTTGACATCCACGGGCCATGCACCTGCACCTGCAGATTGCAGCTGCATGACAGGACTTGGCACGGCAGCTGCATCAGCTTCAGGAGGACGGTCCTTGGATTCGCACGTCGTCTTCATCGCTGTTTGTGTAAACAACCCGCCCGCAAATCTAGCAGAAAGGGACGCTGTGGTGGCCTGTGTTTCTCGCGCTTTGTGGTTTGACGGCCTCCCACTCTCCAGACAGAGTCTAGATATATCTAGAGACCCGCCTGAGCGCAGGACCTGGGTGCCTCGCTCCGCGAGCGAAACCAGCTCCATGAGGCGGTGGAGCAGCTCACGGTGCAGTTCCGCGTGCGGGGCCCCGGGCGGCCGAGCTGCGAAGCCGGGCGGCGCTCGGCCGGGCCGAGCAGCCTTTTGCCCCTTTGTACTTAGGAGGACGTCTTCCGCCAATCGCAGCGACACCTGGAGCTCGAGGGTCTCATCGAGGCAGCGGGGACCTGAAGCTTGAAGCTGTCGGCTTCCAGGGTTTTTCCCTTGAAGTCGTGGGCAGCGCAGCAGACTGCAAATCAAGATACCCAAGGGGGGAAAGGCAAAGCAAAGGGGTTCTGGAACTAGTTAACTAGCTTGACAGTTCTGCCTCTTGCATATGCAGGACCGGAACAACGAGATCAAGCTGCTGATGTACAGGCTCCAGGACGGGCTGGCTGCCAGCAGAGGGGGTGCACCGAAAGCTGCGAATGCTGGTTTTCATTAGCGCCATTAAAGCCGGAAGATGAATACCAGTGCCAAAGCTCTCTCAAGAAGGAGGATCCGTGTTGCTTCCCAGAAGAACAGGAACTCCGATGCCTGGGACTGGTTACCAGTGATTTCGCAGGAAGAATGGAAAGAATGAATCAACAAGCAGAAGTGTCAACAAACCATCAACGGGACTTAGGTAGAATTGGAGAAGGAGAGAGGAGCCCCGAAGGGAGGACAAACGTACCACTTAATTGGCAAGAAATGCCATCATGAGTTTTGTGTCTCACCCTTTTAACACTTCACCTGCAACGGTCACATGTTTGAAACAGTTGCGACATGTTTTGATAAGGTGCGATTGAGCTCGACGGGATTTGGAGGCACCTACGCCTGACGGGGAGGCCATGACGGGAGGCATGTCGGGACGACAAGGCGAGGACTGCCCACCTCCTTTAAGGCTAAGGGGCATGGGAGGCTCGGGAAGTCCTGTTGCGGAGACCTCTTTAAACACCCTCTGCGCCCAGCTCGGGGAGAGCCGCGGTCATGGGAGGACGGAAGGCTCAAAACGGGGAGGCCCGTTGTGTGAGGCGGCTACTTGAACCTGAACCTAACCGAAAAGCGCCTGGTCGCCCGCGGTTCATGTTTGGATTTCGGCTAACCGGTCGAACGAAGGTTTAGGGTTTGGGTTTGCAACTACGGCTTCGGGTCTTTGGGCAACGCCGGCTATCCCAGGTTTACGGCTTTCAGGGTTTGGGAATCAGGGTTTCGATTGGGAAGTTCAAGTTGAGGACTTGGGGCTTTCTGGTTGATGCTTCCGGGGATACGGGTTTAAGGGCTAGGACTCGGATCGCGCGAGGTCTGGGGGTCTGCGGTTTGGGCTCGGGGCTTAGGGTTTGGGGATGAGGTCTTGGCGGGGTTCCGGTTTTGGGGTCGGGTTTAGGAGATAGTGGTGGTTTTGGGGTATAGGCTTTAGTTTGTTTTCTGGGCGGTTTAGGTTTGGCGTGGCCGACAAGAAACGGAAAAGTAAGACACAGTTGACGGAAAAGGAGGACACAGAAAAGCCCGCTTGGAAAGACAACTCTGAAACAATCCTCTCTCTGCCTTGTATAGGAGCATGCATGTGGTAGGAAAGCCATCACCATAAGTGCTCTGAGCTGCTGTATATACCGCCACCATTAGGGCCCCTGAGCTTATACGTGTAGTTACGCAGTAAAACAGAGAAGAGAAAGCCTCGCCAGTTTCTTCAAATTGGTAACGGAGCGTTACAATCGCTGAATTCGGCGATTGCTACATGCAACAGAAGAAACAAGGCACAGTTGACACAAACAAAAAGACTCACTTGGCGCACCTGCCTTTGTTGTGTCAATTTCATTGCAAGAAATTACGATGCCCAAAGTGATAACGACGTGGTTCGCATGGTGGAATGTTCTTTGAAGCAGCCCTAGCGATGACACTCGGTAGAGGCTTTTGTTCAGTGTGCGTAAGGAAGGCGAAGCTTCTTGTTTTGGGCCAGCAGCTCCTCAGATGCCGTGCCAAATCGCGAGCTTCAGCCCATCTGTTTCCCAGTCTGCTGTGTCCCCTTTGTTTGTTCTCCTCGCGCATTCATCATTTTCCCAATTGCTCCTGTTTTTCCAGGTTCGTTTGCGCCTAATCGTTGCCGATTTTTGCATCAGCCAGTAATCCGATGTAATCCCCAGGCGCAGAGCCAGAATGGAATATTCGGCAAAATCCAGCACGGGTGCCTTATCCCCATGTCCAGGAGCTTTCCTCGAGGTATGTGCCAGTGAAGGCGGATGCTACTTGGGTGCAACAGTGTCGCATAAGCCCGCCGTCGGCGGTTCTGTGACCGATTGCTGAGGCGGAGGCCTTCTTGAGATTGGTGCCTCTTCTCATTCAAAAATGTTCACGCCATCAGCCCCGGGGCTGAGGCCACGGACATGGTTCTTTCGAGGTGGATCAACGGCTACCGGCAAGGGTCTTGGATTGGTGCCTCAGAGTGGCAGCAAAGCATCTGATGCCTGAGGCCGGCAGTTCCCTTTTTCCGTTTGGCACAAGGGCTCTACCTCTTCGGCCGGCGGCAGGTGCGGCCCCGCCGCTTGGTTTCTGGCTGCTTACACGGCTGACAGGTTGTCTGCAAGATTTCCAACGACAAGCCGGTGTTTCGCATCGGTGGTGGCTTCGTAGGTGCCAGTCTTGTGCATCTAGGGGAGGTGTCTAGGCCTTTGACGGGCAGATAGACCTCTCTGGCTCAGAGACACCTGCCAATCAGCAGTGGAAGTGTCAAGCTTTGTTGTTCCTCCGGCTGAGCTTGTCGGCAGACGAGGATTTGAGAAGTTCCTGGAGCAGTTCGCCGCGGAGGCATGGATGAATGGCGGCCAGTCTCTGGGACGCACATGTCTGGCCAGGAGCTCGAGAGACTTCTGACCTACGAGTTGGCGAAGCTCTTAAGAGCAGCCAGTGGATTCAGACGCAGACGGAGCGGGGCACCGGGGCGCATTCGCAAGGATGAGAAGACAGGCGAGCCCAAGTTCCTGGTTGCCGGGACCTCCGAAGCATCCACAAGTGCCTCTCCGTGCAGCAGTCAATTTCTAGATTGACTGAGGCGAAACAGCTCCTCGAGGAGTCCGGCATGGTGGAGGCGAGAGACACGAGACGTTCAGCTGCGATGCCCTTGCCTTTGTCGGCGATACGTTCAGGAGATACGGCAGAAGGTCACGGAGGATGTGCAGCGCGGCAAGACAGGCGTGAGCCGCGCCGCCTTTGCAAAGTTACACGGAAGTTCGAAGATTGTCAGCTCTGCAAGCTGATCTATCAATGTCTGCAAATGTTGCTTGAATAGACGCGAGTGCCCTGCAAGGACTGCAGAGCAGCATGAGTAAGAAATCCTTGAATTCGTCGAGGGGCAGTTTGTGAGGCTGCCACCGGCTTTGGCCTGCCGTGGAAAAGGCGTTGTGTCAAGTTTCACTTCGCAGCTTCGCAGCTCGCATTCGCGATCGCTTGTCCGGAGCACGTCAGCACAGAAAGCTTGAATGCCACGTGCAGATAACTTCGGTGAGTCGGGCAAGCCATCGCTTGGCATCCTAGGCTCCTGGGTATGCCTGGCATCGCCATGACAGGCGGATTCCATTGCAAATGAATCGAAAAAGCATGTCCCGGCCTTCCCGACAAGGCATCAAAGCACGGGAGTAGAAGGGCAGTATGCGGCAGCATGTAGTATTTCGGATGGCTACTGCTGCTGATCACAGCAGAGCAGCCCAAGGCCTTCCATGTCCGACAAACACACCAAACTTGAAGGCTTGAGCGCAGGACCCCACCAACGATTCTAGGTGCGAGGTGCATGCGACAGACTGCTGAGCAGTGCTCTTACGGTGGGCACGTGTTGTGTTCTGCGCTGGTGTATCTCTCGCACGATTTGCCAACCAGACTCATGCTGCCATTCAGGTTGTCCTAAACTCAAGCCTGGTGTGGCGACGTGAAGATCCTCCCCTCTGTGTCCTCACTAATATCCTGTAGGACTGAGAATCGGCTGGATCTTCCTTTTGCAAGGGACGCAAAGGGACGCCAGAAGCGGGACATGGAAGATGGCTGAACTGCTCTGTGAAAGCCTCTCACGAGCGAGGCCGGATCTGCGCGAGAGAGATTCAGAGCAATCCCGCTTTCTCCTGCAGATGCGTGCAGCATTGTGTCGTGGCAGCCGATCGTCTGGCCACTTTCCGCGGTCTCGGCTCAAGGCATTTGCCGCTCTGTATGTTTTGCCCGTGTCCTTTTCTGCTTGGCTCGTGGAAATGGCTTCGCAGGGATACAAGGCAGAGATGGCTCCCGCCGCAGAGTTGGAGGTGACCGAGGTGACGAACACCCATTCAATCAAAGCACAGAAGACCCGAGTCTCTGAGGAGTTCAAAGAGCTGGAGAAGAACGACCCCCTGCTCAAGGAGAACCCTCGCCGCTGGGTCATGTTCCCGCTGCAGCACCCGGAAGTCGGGCACTGAGTCTGTTCCGTAGCCCTCACGAGCAAAGTGTGTTAACTTGGCAAGCGAGAGTCGCGAGTTCCACGGTCAGGTCTGGGAGATGTACAAGAAGCATGAGGCTTCATTCTGGACAGCGGAGGAGATCGACCTGGCGCAGGACAACAAGGACTGGGTGACGATGAACGAAGGCGAGCAGCACTTCGTGAAGCACGTCTTGGCCTTCTTTGCTGCATCTGACGGAATCGTGCTGGAGAACCTCGCCGCGCAGTTCTCCAAGGAGGTGCAGATTCCTGAGGCCAGGGCATTCTACGGCTTCCAGATCGCCATGGAGAACATCCATTCCGAGACGTACTCGCTCCTGATTGAGCAGTACATCAAGGACCCTGCAGAGAAAAACAGCCTTTTCGATGCCATCCACACCATGCCGGCCGTTCAGCAGAAGGCTCTGTGGGCTGTGCAGTGGATGAACCGTGAGAGCAGCTTCACCGAGCGCTTGGTGGCTTTTGCTGCCGTGGAGGGCATCCTCTTTAGCGGCTCCTTCTGCGCCCTCTTCTGGCTGAAGAAGCGCGGCCTGATGCTGGGCCTGACATTCTCCAACGAGCTGATCTCCCGCGACGAGGGCCTACACGCGGACTTTGCATGCCTGCTCTACGGCATGCTGGAGCACAAGCTTCCAGAAGATGTCGTTCACGAGATGATCCGCGGCGCGGTGGAGGTGGAGCGGGAGTTCATCTGCGGGGCCCTGTCCTGCGATTTGATCGGCATGAACAAGGACTTGATGACCCAGTACATCGAGTTCGTGGCAGATCGCCTGTTGACGGCACTGGGACACAGCAAGATCTTCAACTCGTCCAACCCCTTCGACTGGATGGAGATGATCTCCCTGCAGGGCAAGACCAACTTCTTCGAGAAGCGCGTAGGAGAGTACCAGCGCCTGGGCTTGAGAGAGCAAGCCCTGCTTGTGCTGCTGTTTGCTAGGACCGCTAGGAATTCAGAGGCTCCTCGGCCCTAGTTAGTTGATGTTGGGCCTTTCAGGGAGTGCTTCTGCCAGTCGCACTGATTCGGGTGGGTGTGTTGCCCTTGTCACCAGGAAGGCGGGCGTGATGGCGGGGCAGTCTGATCCTCTGACAGCCTTCGCGCTGGACAAAGACTTCTGAAGATTCTGAGACCGCTGGAAGCGGAAGCGGAAGCTGATGGAAGCTGGGGATGGCCAATCGGCATTAATCAACGATTCTTGTAGATTGCCGCTGCTTCCTGTAGGTAGTTTTGGTTATATGTTTTTTGGGCTGCTGCTGGAGTGGGTTGTCTGAACGCCCAGATGTGGTGTGCAGCCGCTCATGGGAGCCAGCAGTGGACAGAATAGCGTTCCTTAGACGCAGCGCTGCCTTCTGTGAGGTAGTTCTGCGGAGTCACCTTTGCAAGATTCGCAGGCAGCGGTTCAAGCTGGATGCTGGCAGCGCCGTGGCTGGAATGCAGCACTGGCCAAGCTTTTAGAACTTGGCTGCGCCTGTCCTCGCCGCGCCGCGATGCACCCTTCCAAAAGCGCGGGCCCGTGCCCGCCACTGCAGTCATCCTGAAGATCGGGAGCTTGTCCTGCCTGCAGGCCGAAGGCCATGGAGACGGAGATGTCGGGGAGGGAGTCGGCCGGAACTTGAGACGAACTCTTGGCTTAATATTCCAGAAACTTCCGTAAACATTCTTAACAGAGCAGTCTAGAAGTCTCGACCTGATGGCGGCATATATGGTCACGCTCTTCGCGGCCGCCCTCCCCCCTATGGTCCATGGTCCAATGGTCCAGGATGCCCCCCCCCCCTTCGGTCGGGTGTGGGGTCCCTCTTCCCCCTGTGGTGTGGTTGTGGGGTTTTGGGGTTTAGGGCTTCTAGTTAAGAGTTATAAGGCTTCGAGTCGACAAGAGCTAAGGGACGGTAGCTCCCGGCCCTCTCTGTCACCCTGGCCGCTCCCCAGCAGCACCCCACCCAACCGCTGCCAGCATCTTGGATGATGGGTCCAGACGATGCATCACAGGGTCCTGCTGGGCTGAAGGTTGCCGCGACCGAGAATTATAGATTTGATTTGATTTCTAACGATGCATGTTCTCTACGTCCTATGTTCACCGCTGCTTTTCGCTTCGGAGCACTTCACTTTCCCGCGCGGAACGCGTCTCCCAGGCCGGAGCTCTGCACCTTTTCAGGCTTTTTTTCATCATTGGGGGGATCACCTTACATCATTGGGTTTAGGATCATTGTCATTGAGAGCGGCTCATGCTGTGGCCCGCCGACCTTCAACTGAATGTTGGTTTTCCTCCCGATTGTCCCAGTTGGATGCATGGCGTCTACGCGCCAGAACCGAAGAGGCCTTCATGATGTCTGAAAGCAATCAGGAGTTGTGCATGTTTCGAAAATCTGCGCAAGCGCTGCTGCAATCTAATCAGCAGGCTCTGCTGCACGTTTCGACAGAATTGCTGCATGCGCCTCTCTTGGGAAGCAGCACCCTGCAAGCCTCTAAGTCAGCAATCTCGCCGTTGTAGTGGCAAGAAAGAGCAATATCGTACGAACATGCAGGGGTTCCCTTAAAGCCTGAAAAAGTCGTCTCCTCTTCAACTCATCGCTCCATCGCCTCGCCGGGCAATGCCAAAGCTTGTCTGGTTTCTCTGGAGCTACCTCCCGACGCTTGCCCTGATTGGTCCAGCTGCTGTGGCGAAAGCATGTTTTTTGAAGGTCCTTCTTCGGCCTTCGGGGTCTGTAATCTCCTGTGCATGCCAAGTTCCGTAGCTTGTTCTGTCCAGGGCCGTGCCCCACCTCTGCCCACGTAGTCTTCGCTGTGTCTCCGTGATACAGCCACGGGGAAGCCTCTGTTGCCTTGCAATTGCAAGGGTGTTCGCACCCACAGGCAGTCAATCAAGCAGTCAATCAATCGGCCAAAGGGAATCCTGCCAAGATCTCAGCCCGGCTCATCCAAGGGCGCTGGCTTGGAAGGAGGTCTTGCTGCCAGAGCATACTGCAGCTCAGCGGCAGGAGCGGAGGCGAAGGCAACGCCGCTCCCGACTCCGAAGACCTAGGTCCTAGGTCTTATGCCGCACGAAGCTAAGGTAGAGCTGGCGGGGGGAAATGACGATCCTCTGAAGATGCTGGGACCGCAACAGTTGACACGTAGTGGATGAGACTATGCAGTGAGGACTGAGTCTATCTGAGGACATGGATGGGTTCCCTAAAGCTGCGTGGCCAAAGCTGATCAGAATGCCTTCTTTAACACATTTGGGACGTTTGGGTTCCTTGAGAAGAGCTGTAAGCAGCCTGCGGCCCACCGGAGCCTTGTACTTGTACCACACAATTTCCTTGCAGCAGGTTCCGAGTGGAGTCCAACGAATCTCCGACAGCAACAATTGGCTCCTTCCTGATGTCTGCTGTTGCATTGACTTCGTTTCGAGGTCCTTCTGCAATATTGCATCGTCTGGTCAGACTGTTGGTGGCCAGCCTGTCTGTCGGCCGAGGAAACACATGCAACAGTGGCCGGGGGAATAATGTCCTTCCAGTTTCATGATGTCTGGTGCTACGACATGTGGCTTGGAATGAATACGGTGTCCCAATAAATTTGATGTTTCCTGGCGAACATCTGTGGCCATTTCTCACGCTTATTGATTATCTGATTGGTTCCCGAAGTGCAGTGATTCACCATTCCGCCATTTTGCCTTTGACTTCTCATGTTTGGAATCCAACTCCTCGTGTTTGCGGCCAGAACCTTCGAGAAAATCGATACGCGCAAGAAGAGCCAGGCTCGCGACGTTCTCTTCAGTTCATGCCACTGCCGAGCTTCGAAGTCTGAATGGAGCACTATCTTGTAGATGCTGGATTGCTGTTTTGGCATGACCTTTTGTTGCACGGAGGCGTTGCAGAGCGTATCTTTTCTTCGTTCAGCCTCATATGCCCACCCCAGCCAGGGCACGGGATTGCGCATTGAGTTCTCTGGCGTGGGCTTGACCTGCAAGGGGAAGTGGAAAACCACAGGGTGCCTTGGCGGCTCTGTGGTGTCGTGGAGTCTGACGGTGGACCTCTTTTTTCCTGGTTCCTGCTGCCAATATGTCGCAAAAATTTGGCATAGCTGCAAGCAATCTTGAATGGTCGGGTTCCTTGTTGAGCGAAAGCACAGTTTCATGCTGTATGCCTTCATTGGTTAAGGTCACTGAGCTGGCTGGTCGTAGGAGCCGCCTGCAATCACTATTGTGTCCATGATGATATCCACAACGCAGCGATGCGTAACTTAGCTGACGTATTGTGCCCGGAGTTTGCAGACTCTGAAACCTGTGGAGGAGATGGAACCATTACTGCCGAGATAGATACCACAAAGACCAACAAGGCTACGGCTCAGTTCTACCTGTACGGCATCAACAGTCAGAACAGATTTGACTATGTCGAAACGGATTACTGCTATGCAGACTCTCGGCTGCACTGTTCGTGGACGGGGGTTGACATCTGGTATTGTAGAATAGCTGCAACATGTGGAAACTAGCGATGTTGCCCAGTAGTCAGCAGACAAAGAGGATGTGAGGATCCTTGACAAGGTAGGATCACGCACGTTTAGGGGAGGGAGTGTTGTGACACGTGCTCTTGCACGTTTCATCGATTCTTGTGACGAGTTTACAAATCCTAAAACAAACGTTCCGACGTGCTGTACACGCACGCCGTTCCAAGCTTGAAGTAGTAGTTCAAGCAGAATAACGCGGCAAAAGCAGCACTTTCAGGCTTTAGAACGTTGGGCAGTGAACAACTCTGAAGCACGGAAACTACAGAAAAAATTGTCGTAAATGCGCTGCGGCTTGGGTTTTGGACACATCTAGGTAGTTCATTAAGGGCTTTTACTGAGGAAGCCTCTCCCTCGCACATGTTTTGCCTGCCTTATCATGGTTCGGCCCATGGATGCTCTGTGGGGACGGATGGAGTATGTGCGAACGTTATCATGGTTGGCCCATGGATGCTCTGCGTGAACGGATGGAGTTTGTGGGAACGTTATCATGGTTGGCCCATGGATGCTCTGCGTGAACGGATGGAGTTTGTGGGAACGTTATCATGGTTGGCCCATGGATGCTCTGCGGG